TCGACTTTTTTATATCGGTCTGTCGTCGATTAACAGACCGATATAGAAAAAGTCGATAAAACGTCAGAATAATTCGGACTAAGGAACTGGCCACAGGTTGGTGGTTTATCTCCGGGCACTCCGTTTTTCCTCAACCACCAAAACCTGGCCTTAAATGACCATATCTCTAAATAGACACTATCTCAAGGCAGCTGTAAATGTTTACATGTAAAGTCATGCTTCATAAGAGTTCGTTTGGATTAAGAACATGATTGCTTCCCTTTAGTGTTATTATTGAGGATGGGACAAGTGCTGCTATAGTAACCGTCAGGGATGCTGCCATACAGAAGTTGCTGCTGCTGTCAGACAGAGAATGGTCTAGTGTACAGAGTGTGGTACAAACACAAGGAGAAATATTTCTCCAAAAGGTGGGTACACTTCCTATTAACCCCTACAGAGCAAGAAAAAAATCCTGCATTACCCTCTTGCAAGCAGATTTTGTCTATGTCTATATACAAGTAAACAGTCGCGTCTACTTGTCCAATGGACCAGTGAAAAGTGGTCTATTGAATATTACAAAAAATGATGTTTTGTTAATGATCAACTAAACAGGTAAATTGGTAGGAAAAATGGCTTCACTACTGTTAAAACATATTGGGCTACTTCAATGAAATGTAGGGGCCGCGGTGGCCGAGTGGTTATGGCATCAGACTGTCTACAATCACTGTCCTTCCACCATTGGGTTGTGGGTCAGTGGTTCGAGGCCTATGTGGGGCAGTCGCCAGGTAATGGCTGCTAGTCGGTGGTTTTCCTCCAGGTTCTCCAGTTTTCCTCCACCACTGAAACCTGACCTGTCCTTGAATGACCATAGCTATTGATTGGACATTAATACAAACAAACCAATGAAATGCAAATGTAAATAATTGATAATTTTGGGACCAACATGATTATATACTAGTAGTACTTTTCGAAATTTCGTTCACACCCTGCACTTCCTGCCTGTATGATTGTTAGTTAACTCTTCCTGGTATCTTTTCTATATACTGTTCCTCTTTGCCTGTACAAGTCCAATTAAGAATTCATTTTACCTGTGTGCTACAGACACGTCCGGAGTTTGGTAGTCCAGTGGAGATGTTTCTTTATCAATTATGCGAGAGCTCGCTCGTCAAGAAGAACTGGGAGATGTGGCTAAGGACCCGAACTGGGGCGTCCTCTGACTGGTCATCTGGTGGGAATCTAGATAATTTGACCTTAGAGGGTAAGGTTCTTCTGTCTGTGACTGGCTGTATCAGAGGACATTTAAATTTATAGTGAAAACAATTGAATTTTTAAAGTTTGATACAATTATTTTCCATAGTTTTATGTGAACTTCCTCTCTAATTTGGAGCACATGTATGGTATAATTTTCCTTTTGTTTTTAGCTCACCTGGTCCGAAGGACCATGGTGTGCTTATGCAATACCGCAGCGTCCGTC